AGGGCAGAAGCAAAATAAATCTCCATATTTTTACAGTCAGAGCCAGGTATTTTTAACATCAGGGCATAAGAAATGAGTCAAATGCAGGGACCTCTGGGGTGGGAGGCAGCAGCTGTTTTAAGAGATCCTTCACTCAGCACTGAAATGCAGCCACTTCTGGGTTGGAGCGTGGCAGCTGTTTCAGACATCTTACCGTCTCGGGACATCCCCAGGCTGAGGCATTTCTGCAGCCGGCAGTGCTGGCAGCGGTTGCGGCTGGTCCGGTCGATCTGGCAGTTCTGCTGGCGGGTGCAAGAGTACGTCACGTTGCCCTGCTGGCTTCTGCGGAAAAACCCCTGAAACAACGGGTTGGGGAGAGAGAGACACACAAACTGACCAAGGCGGCTCAGCGGCTTGTGTGTGAAGCCAACTGGGGGTGCCAACGCCCGGGGCAGGGGCATCTGCGGCATAAAATCAACACAGTGGCTGGTGCTGACTGGTCCCAGGGCTGAACAAGCCACGATGGGCCGATCTCTGCTCCAATGTGGTGGTAACGGCCCAGGGGCCAGGGCATGCTTGCTTAGCTGCTGGGCGGGTGCTAAGCATGGCCAAGACTCCAATGGTCCCATAGCCCCGCTGGCAGACCCTGGGCAGCATCTGCTCCAGTGCTGGCCCACGGCCCCCTCGGGGCGGAGGAGAAGCGCTGTTCCAGAGCTCTGTGTATTTGGGAGCGCTAAGGGAATTGGAACGGAATCCCACACCCGGGGCGCCCCCTGGTGGCAGAGATCAGGCAAGCGGGGGCAGGACTGTGGAGTGGGAGTGGGGATTTGGGGTGTTGTTCACCTTGCAGCCTTCACAGGTGATGACCCCATAGTGAATCCCTGACGATTTGTCCCCGCAGATCTTACACGGGATCACTTCTATTTGTGCTAGGATGGAGAGAGAGAGAGAGAGAACATGAGCACTGGCCGGAGTGTGCTGCTCCCTGCATGCCCTTGCTTGGCTCTTTGGCACTGTCGTCTAATGCTTCTTAGAGCGAGCGGGGTGGGGGTGCTGAGAGTCAGGACTCCTGGGTTCCATTCCCAGCTTTGGGAGGGGAGCGGGGCCTAGTGGGTTAGAGCTGGGGAGGGAGGCTGGGAGCCAGGACTCCTGGGTTCTATTACACATACCACCTCAATGAACCCCGGGGGGTGACCCCATTTAAGAGAGAGCAGAGCTGGGGTCCTTAAATGGCTAAATCAGGATTGCGGGTAGAGCCTTGATGTGAATAAACTAGCTTGGCTGGGAGCTGGTGCCAACAGAGAAGAAGAATTTATCTTGCCAACTCCCCAGGAAAGTGCTGCGTGTTACGCAGAGTTTGCCCACACTGGGGCACCCTCGTCTCACATTTCCTCCCATGCCCGGATTCCAGGCACTGGCCAGGGCGCAGGGGCGCTTGCCCGGCTGGATACCAATTTGCAGGCCAGCGTACCTCTGCTAATCCCGCCTCTGCCTTCCAGCCAGCTGCCAAACTCAGCAGGGAGAGAGGGGCAGAGCCCAGCCACACTCCCAGTGGCCTCGGGAGGGAGGGGTCGATTTCACAAATGGGGAAACTGAGGCACAGGGAGCAGCAAGAACTCGCTCAAGCACAGAGCGAGGCAGGGGCAGAGCTGGGAATAGAACCCAGGAGTCCTGGCTCCCAGCCCGCTGAGCGTCAGCAACAGAAACCTGCCGGGATCCTGATATCCTAACACCCCACACGCCCCATCCCACTCCCTCCGAAGGCAGAGCACAGAACCCAGGAGTCCCGACACCCATCCCACTGCTCTAACCACTAGGCAGCATGGCTCCGTGGCACTCCTCTCTGCACGATGAAGCCTTCTCTGAGCCGGGCCGTGGTGCAGAGCTGGGGCTGGCTGATCTAGCCAAGGGCACAGGGTGGGGAAAGCCAGGGAGAAGGGGCGGGTCACAAGAGGGAGCCAGGGCAGGAAAGCGACCCCAGACACTCACCCAAGAGCCACTTAACTAGGGTCTCCATCCCCACCCTTCGGCGGGACCATGGAGAGAACAACACGAAGCTGGAGCTCTGGATGGGCCAGGGCACCAGCTTCCTGAAGGGGAGGGAGGGCCGTGGGGCTGGGGGCCCATCCGGGAGGGCAGCAGTGTGTCCTGGGGTGCTGGGAAGAGCTGGCAAGTCGCAGACTGGCAATAGCCCCTTTGCTCCAGTCCGGAGGGTCACCCTGTGGGCGTGCTCCCCTCTGCCAGGGCTGCCCCCTGGGCCTAAGCCACGCCCCATCGTACAGCCCAGCAGCTCCTCTTTCCAGGGGTTATTTATCCAGCCGGAGCAAAGCTCTTCCACACTGATAAGCGCCCTGCCCACCCCCCCGGAGATTATCGTCACATGATGGCCGGTTACATAACCTGGAGATCATCTCATAATCGGCCAGCCAGGCCCGCGGGGGCCCCCTTAACCCCTTCGCAGGCAGCTGCTGCCTGGGCATTCTGCTCGCCAGGGGGTTTTCCTTAGGGAGCTGGATTGGCAGCCCTGGCACTCCCCTATGAGTCCTGGGAACAGAACCCAGGAGTCCTGGCTCCCAGCCTCCCCGGCACACCCTGCTGTAACCACTGGGACAGAGACAAACTGTCTCAGAAGACATTGAGACACCTAGGATCTTGCAGTAATAAGCAGGGGTGTATTGTGGGGATCAAGACTGGATTAAATCATAGACACCATTGACTGTCCTAATGCCCCAGCTGCTGGAGTTAGGGGATGAGCGCCGAAATTCAGCTTTGATTTAAAAAAGAAAAAAGTTACTCCTCAAGGACGCACAGAAAAGCTTGAAAACGGGCCCCGAGTGTAACCAATGCCTGCCTGAGTCTGCAGACAGCCTACACCAACAGCTCTGGAACCTCGTTCCCGGGGCTTCCAACCTCCTGCTGGCCCAAGGAGGGGCGGGGCTGCCGTTTGGGGCGGAGCGATGGCTGTGCATGTGTCAGGCCCTAGACTGCCGTTCATGGAATCCGGTGCAGGGTAAACTTTTTCCCAGAAGGGCAAGAAACTCTACCCCTGAACTAACTCCTGCAAAAACCCCAGGCCTGTCACTGCTAGGGACTGGGGGCTGGCGCACAATTTTAAAGGAGGGTCGGGACTATGAATAAACAGCCCGGAGCAAACCGGAGAATCATGCCCTGCTCGTGCGTACACACCCGGGGTCCGACCAGTGTCACTGGGGCTTAGAGTCTTTGGCACCAAGTCTGCTTGTATCCAAGGGTCGAGGCCTGTGGGTTGGGGGCTCTGCTGACAGCAAAGGGTTTGTGGGGACTGACATGCTGAGTTCCCTGCTGCTTTGTGGTGGGAATGTGATGCCAAAAATTAAGCTGGAAAGGGGGAGAGAGGGTATGTGAGGCAGAAGACTGGGAATCTGGGTCCTGGGTTCTATCCCCAGCTCTGAGAGGGGAGTGGGATCTAGTGGTTAGAGTAGGGGGGCTGGGAGCCAGGACTCCTGGGTTCCATCCTCAGCTCTGGGTGAGGAGTGGGATCTAGTGGTTAGAGCGGGGCGACAGGGCATCAGGACTCCTGGGATACATGCCGAGTTCTGGGAGGGGCTGATCCAACAGGGATGAGAAGCAGGACAGCAGCTTCTGCGTCTTCCTGAACCCTCTGGGCCTCTGGCCACAGGGAGCTGTGAGCATCAAAGAGCTCTGAGTCCCTCAGATGAAAGCCCCTTGTGAAGGGGCGCGCGTAACCACATCCCGCACCTTCCAGGCCCAACGGCTGCTTTCCCGAGCGTCTCCTCCCTGCCCCCCACAGGCAGCCGCCTGGCACCGGCCCAGCTCCTGCGCTGGTTTGCTCTGCGATACGCCAGGCGCCCATTTGGTTTGCTCTTCCTCTCTAGAGCTTCCCTTATCGATGTCCCCCTCCCCCCCCCGCTGTGTAATGAACCCAGGCGATCGGCGCCCTAAATAAGGACCGAGAACTCGTCCCCCCATCGTCTTCGAAACCTCAGCAGGCAGCAGATCGCCTGACACTAACCCACAACTGGGACACACCTCCCACCGCGCAGGAAGGCAGAAACTTCTCCAGGGCAGAGAAATCTCACAGCCTCCCCTCCACTGCTCACCACACACCAACAGGTGAAAACCCCTACCTGCTGCTCACAGGCAGGTACCAGTAAACAACTCTCCATCACCCCCCGGCAGGAGCGAGCTAATGGGGCCATGGGGCGGGGGAAGCACCACAATTTTCCATTGGCACAAACATGCTGATACAGGGCTTTAAAGGCCCCGTGAGGCTAAGGCAAAGGGGCTAGCAAATCACAGGCTCCAGGGCTATTATACGGGCAGGGGTCAGGAAGGGAGTTGCTTCTCTCCTAGCCTCCAGCCAAAGCAGGACATGGGACTAGATGGAATCGGCGGGGCTGCAAGTGGGGCCAGATCCTGGCTTAGATGGGTCACAATGTTTGATCGGCCCTGTCTAGTCCGCTCCCCTCAGCCTTTCGAGGTGTGATTCAGCCGGGGGAAGGTTGGACGGTTGGATCACAGAAACCCCCTGGGGGCTGTCAACTGATGTGCCAAGACTACTTCTGCCCCTGCTTTCCCTGCCAGCTTGGGACTCCAGCACCCTGTCTTGCTGAGCCAGACACGCCAATCTGCTCCAACACAGACCCAGGGTCTGAACCACGTGCCCCAAAGCTGCAGACTTAACTGAAAGGAGCTTAAGAAGTGTTCCTGTCTTTAACACTCAGATGCCCAACTCCCAGTGGGGTCCAAACCCCAAATAAAGCTTATACAGGGTAAACTCATAAATTGTTCGCCCTCTATAACACTGATAGAGAGATATGCACAGCTGTTTGCCCTCCCCCCCCAGGTATTAATACATACTCTGGGTTAATTAATAAGTAAAAAGTGATTTTATTAAATACAGAAAGTAGGATTTAAGTGGTTCCAAGTAGTAACAGACAGAACAAAGTGAACTACCAAGCGAAATAAAATAAAACATGCAAGTCTAAGCCTAGTACAGTAATAAAACTGAATACAGATAAAATCTCACCCTCAGAGATGTTTCTGCTTTGAGCAGGGGGTTGGACTAGATGACCTCCATATCCCTTCCCACCCAGATATTCTATGATTCTTTCACAGACTGGACGCCTTCCTAGTCTGGGCACAATCCTTTCCCCTGGTACAGCCCTTGTTCCAGCTCAGGTGGCAGCTAGGGGATTTCTCAGGATGGCCGCCCCCTTTGTTCTGTTTCACCCACTTATATATCTTTTGCATAAGGCAGGAATCCTTTATCCCTCTGGGTTCCCACCCCTCCCTCTCAATGGAAAAACACCAGGTTAAAGATGGATTCCACTTCAGGTGACATGATCACATGTCACTGTAAGACCCCAAGCCTTCATTCCTCCCAGCCTGACTCACAGGAAGGCCTGCCTGCCAACAGAGCCATCAACAGTCAATTGTCCTGGTTGATGGGAGCCATCAAGATTCCAAACCACCATTAATGGCCCACACTTTGCATAATTACAATAGACCCTCAGAGTTATATTTCCTATTTCTAGTTTCAGCTACAAGAGTGGTACATTTATACAAATAGGATGATCACACTCAGTAGATTATAAGCGTTGTAATGATACCTTACAAGAGACCTTTTGCATGAAGCATATTTTAGTTACATTATATTCACACTCATCAGCATACTTCCATAAAATCATATTGAGTGCAACGTCCCAAGGGGGGCAGGGCAAGGTGGGTCCATGGTCTGATCTGCTGCGGCGGGGAGCTGGGAGAGCAGGCGGGATGGAGCGCTGAGATGCCCTGGCGTGGCTGTGGCGAGATGGGCTGAACCTCAGGCCCTTCCCCTCGGCCTGGCGCAAGCAGCAACACCAGAGCTCCTAGCCCGCTGCAACCGCAGCGGCACAGACCTTTGTGACCATGTTCAGCCACTTGTGAC